GCAAGTGCCACTGCGCCCCTGCCCGCGAGTGCCACTGCGCCCCCGGCCCGCTCGCGCTGCCCGCCAGCAGCCTGCGCCCGGCCTGCGCCCTTCCCGCGCGCACCCCACCCGCACTCACGCGCACCCTGCCTGCGCCCTCCCCGTCTGCGGTGATGCGCGCTACTGCTGCATGCGCTGTTGCTGCTACTAAGCGCTGCTGTTGCGCTACTGCTGCCGCCTGCGCTGCTGTTGCCGCCTGCGGTGCTGCTTCTGCCCGAGCTGCTACTGCCGCCTGCGCTGCTGCTACCACCTGTGCTGCTGCTGCGCTGCTGCTGCCGGCTGCGCTGCTGCTACTGCTGAGCTGTTGTTGTTGCTGCTGCTAGGCTGCTGCTGCCGCCTGAGCCGCGCTGCCCTGCCCTGCAGCCAGCGAGCCGCGGTGCCCTTCCCTGCAGCCCGCGTGCTGCTCTGCCCTGCCCTTAGGCCCGCGTGCCGCCCTGCCCGTAGAGCCGCGCTGCCCTGCCCTACAGCTCGCGCGCTGCGCTGCCCTGCCCTTAGGCCCGCGCGCTGCCCTGCACTTAGAGCCGCACTGCTCTGCCCTGCAGCCCGCGAGCCGCGCTGCCCTGCCCTTAGGCCCGCGTGCCGCCCTGCTCTGCAGCTGCTGGTGCTACTACTGCTACTGCGGTCACTGCTGCTATTACTGCGCTAGCTCGTGCCCTGCTGCCCACGCACCCTACTGGCCTCCACAGCCACTCCAACAGTCGCTACTACTGTTACAGCCACAACGACCACCACTACTGCTACAGCTGCAGCTGCAGCAGTCACTACCACTGCCCTTGCGCCACTGCTACTGACTGCCACTGCCTGTCATGGCCACTATCACTGTTGTAGCAGCGTTTAGAGGTGGACAACGGCAGCTACTGCCTCACCCGGACACTCTATCACCGCAGCAGCTTCGCGAGTGGGTTATTCAGCGAGGCCGTCCTGGTGGTGGAGGTTATCGTGTTGGAGGTGCTGGACAGCAACGGCAGCCTGCGCACCTGGACACTCTCTCGCCGCAGCAGATCCGTGAGTGGGTAGTTCAGCGCGGCCGTCCAGGTGGTGGAGGTTATGGTTTTATGGATACTGGACAGCGGCCGCAGCAGCGTCAGCAAAAGACCTTCTCCCGGCGGCGGCTTCGCGACCGTGTTTCTCAGCGAGGCATCCCTGGTTGTGTAGAGGCTGCTCCTCTAGGTGCTAGTGAGTCTACTGCCGCTCTAGGTGCTAGTGAGTCTGCTGCAGCTCTAGGTGCTAGTGCATCTACCGCCACTGGTCCTGCCTCAGCTGAGGCCTTGCGCACTTTCACACTTGGACTCAAGAGCGTCACGTTGCTTCTTTCGTGATGGCACCACAGTCACACCGCTCGCAGCACTTGTCCCAGTCTTACTGGCTGACCCCATCGGGGGCCCAGTAGTAGCGCGAGCCTCCACTGTCCTCCCGTGTCCGGCAGTCCCCTCCGGCTCTCTTTCAGGCCTCCACCTCCCCTCGTTCTCGACGAACTTGGTGAGCAACGTAGTCCTTCAGGATGTTGGGTTGATACCTTTATCCCTAGAGGGCAGCGTATGGCGATCTGTACGTGCTCCCGGACTAGACGTCACCTTGCTACGTTCACTCGGCAACCTTGGTCCAGTCTATACATCTTGACCACTGCGTCTGCACATGTGGCTGCGTCAGGTCAGGTGGCTGCGTCGAGTCAGGTGTCTGCGTCTGGTCAGCTTGCAACGTCTTGCTCGTGTCAGGTACTTTCCCACCGGACTCTCCTCTGGCACCACCGACTTGGTCACCCCTCTCTGCCACGTCTGTATAGCATGCACTCCCATCTCCTTATCTCTGGCCTTCCCAGGTCTCTGCACCCCCTCTCGTGCCTGCCTGCCTCGCCGTGCCTTCCCTGCGTCGAGGGGCGGCAGCGCGCCGCTCCTCACTCCTCCGAGTTTCCTCCGACCATTGCTCCTCTACAGACTCTCCACATGGACGCGTGGGGCCAAGCCCGCGTCTGTGAGACGGACCAGGAGCGCTACTTCCTACTGGTCGTTGACGACTACTCGCGCTACACCACGGTCTTTCCCTTGCCCAGCAAGGCGGATGTCACTGGTGTTTTGATCCCCTAGATCCACGCTGCTCGTCTCCAACTGCGCGAGCGGTTTCGGCGGGACCTTCCAGTCCTACGTCCGCACTCTAACAGGGGTGGTGAGTTCTCTTCTGGCCTCCTTGCGGATTTCTGTCGAGACCAGGCCATCCGCCAGACATTCACGCTTCCGGCCTCTCCACAGAAAAATTGGATTGCAGAGCGCCGCATTGGCTTGGTGATGGAGGTTGCTCGCACCTCCATCATCCATGCGGCTGCTCCCCATTTTCTATGGCCGTTTGCGGTCCAATACGCCGCGCATGAGCTCAACCTCTGGCCCCGTGTCTCTTTGCCAGAGACCTTGCCAACACTCCGTTGGACGGGAAAGGTTGGCGATGCGTCGGCGTTTTGGGTCTGGGGCGCGCTCTCCCTTGTTCGCGATACCACCGCGAGCAAGCTCTCTCCTTGCAGTCTCCGCCGCGACTTCCTTGGCTTCCCTACTGACGCCCCGCCGTGGCAGTTTTACTACCCTCGCGGCCGTCGCGTGTTCTCCTCCCATGACGTCACCTTTGACGAGTCGGTCCACCCGTACGCGTCCCACCCGGTCCCCCTGGCGCCTCTCTTCCTGGTACCAGTTCCCCCCCCTGTAGACCCTCTCCATCAGTGTACGAGATTTTTTACCCTACTTCCATCAATGTACGAGATTTTTTACCCTAGGAGTCAGAGTTGGCCAAGCCTGGAACTCTGATTTGATTGGGTGGACCAAAACCAATTTTGGGCCCTGCTCACTAGTCTCCACATTGCCTCGTTCGCCATGGCCTTAGTGAGTGTTGGGCAGTTTCAGGCCCTCTCGAGTACGGTCGTGTGCGGTAGAGTGCGGTTGGGTGCAACTAAGAGGGGTCGAATGCGGTGGAGTGCAGTCGGGAATGAGTAGGAAGGTTTAGTACAGTGGAGTGCGGTCGGGTGCGGTTAGGAGGGGTTGTGAGCGGTGAAGTGCGGTCGGTAGCGGCTAGGAAGGGCAGTGAGCGGTAGGCTGCGGTTGTAAGCGGTCGAGTGCTGTGGGAATGGGTCATGTGCGGCTAGAGATAGGGGCGGCGGTGTATAGATGGGGTCAGAAGGTATCAGGTGTCAAATGTAGCCTTAGTCTTAGGACCCATGACTAGAGTAGGAACTAGGGCCCAAAATTGGTTTTGGCCCACCCTGGCAAATCAAGGTTCGTAGGGCTTTTTTTTTTTCATACCTTGCTGAAACAGGGTGGCCTAAAATCTTCCATACACTGATTTTGTCAGTGAAAGTTTGCAGTTAGGCTGTTGACATTGCGTTTTTGCCGAGTCACTAATTTCATATGTACCGGTAATAGTCATATTGGAGCAACTATGTGGTGACAAGTTTTTTCGAATTTGCGCGTGTGGTAGATAGCAACAAGGGTGGTGGTGGGACCGTGGCAAATTCTGTCAGAACGTTATGCAAGAAAGGTCCAAAATCAGTGTAATCCTCAGCGAATGTTGTACAGTCGGGGTACCGTCTAGCCCCAGATATAAGCGCATATGGCGCTTAAATAATGTCAAAAATGAAATTTGTTTTCAAAGGTACGAAACTGAAGCCCTCAATAAGGCGAACACGACCATGTACTGTGCACATGGGATCGTGCATGAAATCCCGCCGAAAAACAGCCGCAACTCGATTTCCCACCGCAAAATGTCAGAACATATAGCTTGTGCTTATTGTGTAGGCTATAGTGGGGTAGCTCATAAGGGGTACAACCCAATTAGGGTTAGTACTTGTACTCAATTCATTCATAGTTCATTCATTCTCGTTCTAACTTTCTCATGGTATCGAGCAGGTTCCCTAGTGGGAACTGTGCCTAGGGCCCACCACATCGAATTTTTTTTCCTGCCCGGAGCGCGCTCCGCCCGAGTCGCGCTCCTCTCTTTCATCTCGTCGAGCCGCCCTAGCGGCCCCGTCGCCCTGGCGGCCCCATCGCCCTAGCGGCCCCGTCGCCTAGCCCTACGGCCCCGTCGCCTAGCCCTACGGCCCCGGCGCCGCCCTGTCACGGCCCCGCCCTTCACTACGGACCCGCCGCCCTTCACTGCGGCCCCGTCGCCCGTCGCTGCGGCCCCGCCGCCCATCGCTGCGGCCCCGCCCTTCACTACGGCCCCGCCGCCCTTCGCTGCGGCGCCGCCGCCCTTCACTACGGCCCCCCCGCCCTTCGTTGCGGCCCCGCCGCCCTTCTCTGTGGCCCCGCCGCCCTTTGCTACGGCCCCGCCGCCCTTCGCTGTAGCCCCGCCGCCCTTCTCTACGGCCCCGCCGCCCATCGCTGTGGCCCCGCCGCCCCTCTCACTACGGCCCCGCCGCCTACCTTGCGGCCCCGCCGCCCTTCGCTGCGGCCCCGCCGCACCTCTCGCTGCGGCCCCGCAGCCTACCTTGCGGCCCCGCCGCCCTTCACTGCGGCCCCGCCGCCCCTCTCGCTACGGCCCAGCCGCCCCTCTCGCTGCGGCTCCGCCACCTCCTCTGCGACCCCGCCGCCCTTCGCTGCGGCCTCGCCGCCCCTCTCACTGCGGCCCCGCCACCTACCTTACGGCCCTGCCGCCCTACCAGCGGCCCTGCCGCCCTACGCAACCGAGCCACCCACACAGCTAAGCAGCCCGAGCCGCCCGTTCTCCCCGAGCCGCCCGAGCCGCCCGAGCCGCCCGAACCGCCCGAGCAGCCCGAGCCGCCCGAGCCGCCTGAGTAGCTGAGGAGCCGAGCCGCTGGTGCCGCAGAGCCGTAGTTGCTGCTGAGCCGTCCGAGTCGCCCGAGGCGCCGTGTTGCCGAGCTGCTGTCCTGCCGAGCTGCCCGCACCGCCCTGTCTGGTGAGAGCAGCACTTCTGTCACTGCACTGCCCCTGTCCTACAGTTAGCGTTGCTAGTCTACTGCTGTCATGGCTACCCCCAGTGTTCTCGCTTTTGACGCTGAGGGTCGGGCCATTGACTTTGAGGTCTGGGTAGATGACCTGCAGCTTTTCCTACAGTGCGATAGGGCAGATGGTCTCTCTCTCTTTGACCTCAGCTCTGGTGCCTCTCCTGCCCCTGCTGCTGATGCTGACGCAACTGTTTGCTCCCAGTGAGCCACGCGCGATGCTGCTGCACGTCTTGCTGTGCGTCGCCACCTGCCTACCACTGAGCGCGCGCACTTTAGTCAGTACAAGAGTGCTCAGACCTTGTACGACGCTGTAGTTGCGTGCTACTCTTCCCCTGCCACTGCTTCACTGAGCCGCCTCATGCTACCGTACCTCTTCCCTGACCTTGCTACCTTTCCCACAGTCGCTGACCTCATTACGCACCTCCGCACTAGTGACACTCGCTACCGCGCCGCGCTTCCTGCTGAGTTCTGCGCCAAGAACCCCCCCTACATCACTCTCTACTACTTAGTCACTCGCCTCCCTGACTCCCTTCGCGTAGTCAGGGACCACTTCCTCTCAGTCTGTCCCACCACTCTCACTGTTGACCTCCTCGAGAAGTACCTCCTAGCGGCCGAGAAGAGCATAGTCGCTGTAGGGGGCTCTCGTGGTGACCCGCGCACCCCCATCTTTGAGGGGTGTTCCCCCTCCCCCCTTCTGCCCTCCGTTAACTCTGCTGCTGCGGCCGACCTCCTTGGTCTTGAGTCGGTCGGTGCGGTGTCTGCCCCTAGCGGGAGACGCCGCTCTGGCAAGGGCAAAGGGGGCACGGGCGCTGGAGGAGCGAGCGGGGGCGGTGGAGGTGGAGGTGGAGGCAGCGGGGGGAGTGGGGGTGGTGGAGGGAGTGGAGGTGGGGGTGGAGGTGACGGTGGCGGCAGTGGAGGCGGAGGCGGCGGCGGCGGTGGCGGTGGGAGCGGAGGTGGCGGAGGTGGTGGCGGTGGAGGAGGCGGCGGAGGCGGCGGTAGTAGCGGAGACGGCGGAGGCGGCGGAGGCGGCGGGGGTGGCGGTGGAGCTGGTCGCGGGTCTACGCAGAGGAGTGGCTCCGGTGGTGGTCCGCGCCAGCAACAGCAGCGCGGTCGTGCGACCCTGTCCCCTCAGCAGCTCCGTGAGTGGTACATTGCACGCCACCGGGGTGGGGGTTTTGGTCCGTGCACCTACGTCCTGCGCACCGGCGACCGTGCGGGTGAGCAATGTGGGGGTGCGCACCCCACCCAGCGCTGCTTTGGTCGCCTGACGGACACGTGGCGTCACCAGTTCCCGGAGGCCGCAGAGATCCCTCGCTGGGGCGAGCTGTCTAGGGCAGGTGTTGCCATCTATGATCTTGATTTTGATGCCATTCTTTCTGCCATGTATGCTGTGTCTATTAGTGCTGAGGGTGACTGTTATCGGTGTTTCCCGCCCAATCCGGGCATTGAGACTGCTGCTCTAGGTACTGGTGAGGCGGCTGCCCTAGGTGCTTACGACGCTGCTGCTCTAGGTGCGAGTGCGTCTGCGTCCTCAGGTACTGGTGAGTCTGCGCTCTCAGGTACTACGTCGGCTTCGGCCTCCCTCACCTTCACCCTTGACTCTGGGGCTTCTCGCTCCTTCTTTCGGGACAAGTGACCCGAGCAGTGCAGGAATTCTTGGCAGTGCAGGAATTCTTGGCAGTGCAGTTCGTCCGAGACAAGTGACCCGAGCGCGGCATTGAGACCATGTGGATCATCAACGCCGTCCAGACGCCTCTCTGGCTGGAGATGCCCACCACCACAACTGTTGAGCAAGCTGGCGTTCGCTCGGTGCCCATCAGGAGTGCCGGGTACCAGAAGGAGCGCGTTACCGTAATGCTGGCCTGCACGGCGGACGGCGCCAAGCTCAAACCGTGGGTTTTTTTCAAGAGGAAGATGCTGTCGAAGGTCGAATTTCTGCCCGGTAAGTGAGATTCCTTGACGTGTGTCGCTCATGTTTTTGTTTAGTGGGTTCACTCATTTTTGTTTCACAACCCGATGTTTCTTGTGCAGATGTGGTCGTGGCGTGCCACGAGAACGGGTGGATGGATGCTGCGGGCGTCATTCGCTGGCTCGAGGAGTGTGTAAAGCCGTTCTTGAAGCCGTCTTTTGGTCGGCATTCCAGGAGCTCCATGGTGGTTCTGGATTCCTACCGCGGGCACCTCACCGAGAGTGTGAAGGAGAAGTTCCGCGAGATAAACTGCGTGCCGGCGATCATCCCGTCGGGGTGTATGGGGGAGCTTCAGCCCCTCGATGTCTTCGTCAACAAGAGCTTCGAGGCCTCCGTCCGTCAGCAGTACCAGAAGTGGTTCGAAGCGGAGGGGCAGGAACAGCTGACTGCAGCAGGTACGGTGTTAAACTGGCTTCTATATATGCACGTTGATAAACTCCCCCCATATTTGATCAAATCACCATGGATTCTTTGTGTTGTTTCAGGGAATCTCAAGAAGCCGCCACCTGCAGTGGTCTTGAGTTGGATCTCGCGGGCCCTGAGGGCAGTGCCCGCCAACCTCATCAAGCGCGCCTTCCTCACCCGTGGCATTAGCAACGCGCTTGACGGCAGCGAGGACAACCTTGCCATGGCGCACAGGCGGACCCAGCTGACCGCGGAAGTGGATGTCAACGACGACATAATCGACAATGGCTTCTTTGGCAACAACTGTCAGGAGCCCGAGTCTGACGAAGAGGAGTATACGCTTCCTTGGTAGAAAGGCCTTTTTAAACGCCTGTTCATTGAGTTAGGAGTAGGCAGTTGTAACCGCAAGTGCAAGACTTCGAATGAAATGCTTTTGAAGATGTTAATTGTTTGTGTTTTTCAAAAAAATAGTAAAATTGTTAAAGGTATGCGCTTATAATTAGTACGGGTACAAAATGGGGTGCGCCTATCATCGAGGAACGGCCATAAGCGCCATGCTCCAGATAGTAGCGTCGGCGCATTTAAAGCAAGGGTACACTTTGGGGGGGGTGGAGGCAAAGGTTTATCACTTGCCTCCACATGGTTACCCGGTTTGTGGCTGGAGGTGAGACGCGAATTGCGGAATTGCGCAAATATTCAGTGTTGGCGGAATTGCGCGGCTAGTCTCGCTCCCATCAGTAGCGACAGGGGTGGAATGGGAGTTGGAAACTTGGGTCTGGTGCCAGGCACTTAGTGAACCAAAACACCAGCGACTCTCGTTCCTCGACAGACGTACTCCAAGCAACATAGTAGGCAACCACAGCCCACAGCGCACCGCCACCCACAGAGCACAGTTTCTTGTGACGATAAGTTGCCGCCGCCAACGGCTGCAAAGCGTTTCCTCGGTCTGTAGCCACAGTCCCTGCTCTGCTAAGCGTCGACCGTTGCTGCTTTGCTGACCTCCAGGGCAAGATGATCCACTAAGCTCCATAGCGAGTGCGGATCCGCTAACAACCATAGCGACCATCGCTGATCCATAGCAAACGCCGCAGTTTTTCCAATATCCATTTCTACCGTCGCTGATTTGCTAATATTCATAGCGACTGTGAGGACGAGGCTAAATTCGTCGCTGATTTGCTAATATGCGTCCGCTGACGACTGGCGGAATGGCGGGAGGCGAGACGGTTAAGGACGGAGAGCGGGCGGCGCTAGCATGTATGTGCAGCGATCGGCGAGCGGCAAACGACGTATGGCGGATCTCGAACATTGAGCATTGTTTAGCTGGCGGCGAGCAGCGAACAGCACGGAGCGTGCTCGTGAGGAGAGGTTTAGGGGCGGAGAGGACAGCACGGAGAGGACAGCAAGTCGCTGTGACGCCGTGCTTGGCGCTGGTGATGAAGAGCACCACCGCGTGCGACGGTGTGTGGGGTGGTGACTTGCCGCGCGCCACGGTGTGCGGAACGGCGACTTGCTGCGTACGACGGTGTGCGGAATGGCGACGCGGCTGCTTGCTGCTGCTGCCTTGGCCGAGCCACGTTCAGCCTAAGCGTTTCTCCTTAGCTAGGTTTCCTCTCTCCCCCCCCCGCTCCTCCATCGCTCCCCTTCCGTCCCTTCCACTCTCAAGGCGCATGCGTCTCTCGGCTCATTGCGCATGACAGTGGTGGTTCATGGCGCTATGGCAGCAAAGCTCATGTAGAGTGCAGTGTAGTGGGAGTGGTTAGTGGGAGAGGGAGTGCATTCATGCCATGTGCGTGGCCCTCTCTACCCCAGTCCCCCCTCGCTGGCTCAGCTCGCTGTTATAGTGCCGTGGGCTACTGTCGCCGTGCGCCTCCTCTTCCTTCGCTATCACCCCTCCATTCCTTTCCCCCCCTGTCCTATCTGCTTTCCCTGTCCTCTCTCTCTTCTCCCCCCTCTCTCCCTCCCTGTCCTATCTCTCCTCCCTCCCATATCTTCCCTCTTTGTCATATCTCCCCTCCCTGCCCTTTCTCCCCTCCCTGTCCTCTCTCCCAATCATTCTACTCCCTGCTCTCTCGATCCTCCCTTCCCTCTCTCCCTTCAAGCCCCCACCTTTCGTCATTTCACCCCACCCCTGTCATTTCACTCCTCCCCTGTCATTTCACTCCTCCCTTGTCATTTCACCCCACCCCTGTCATTTCACCCCACCCCTGTCATTTCACCCCACCCCTGTCATTTCACCCCACCCCTGTCATTTCACCCTTCTGTCCCAGCCCCTCTTCTATACGCCTTTCTCTCCCTTACTCCCCTCTGCCATACCCCTTTCTCTCCCTCCCCTCTTCTATATCCCTTTCTCTCCCTTACTCCCTTCTGCTATACCCCTTTCTCTCCCTTACTCCCTTCTGCTATACCCCTTTCTCTCCCTTACTCCCCTACTATACCCCTTTCTCTCCCTTACTCGCCTTGGCTATACCCCTTTCTCTCCCTTACTCCCCTTGGCTATACCCCTTTCTCTCCCGTAATCTCCTCTCAAACTCCCCTCAACCCTCCCTGCCCTCTCTCCCCATCACACCGTCTCTCCCCTCTCGTACTCCCCTCTCCCCTCCCTGCCCTCTCTCGCCATCCCCCCCTTTCCCCCCTCTCTGCCCTGTTCTGTCCCCCCTCCCCTCGCTGTCTTTTCTCCCCTCTTTGCCGTGTCCTATCCCCTCCTCTGCCCTGTCCTATCCCCTCACCCTGGCCTGTCCTATCCCCTCACCTCTCGCCATCCCAGGCGAGCATGCCAAAGGCCCAAACGAGCTGCATGGACGTACTGCCTCCCCTTGCTCCTGCTTTCAGCATGACAAATGCCCAGACAAGCTACATTGCGTACAGGGACCGCTAGCAGATTCCGAACGGAGCAAAGGCTCAAGCTTGTATCCTGTCACTGCATGCTCTCGTCTCGTCATGTGTTTTTACATCTAAAAAATATGAGTCTGATGTTTACATCTTGTCACCTAATTTGGATGCGCCAATTTTAAAAGAGTTACACACAAAACTAAGAGGCTACCATGACAGCAGCATGAACAGTAACTTGAGTACAGCATCAATATGTTGTAGCACCTAATATGACATTGGATGGCACAATGTGGGCACCGAGTCAGATCATACTTTGTTGCTCCATGCTGCAAACAAAGCTCACAACGAGAGGGTTGGTTGGTTGGAAGGACTGGACAGGGAAACCCGAAACAGGAGGGAAGAAGGGAAGGGAACGAGGGGTTGGGGAGGGGAAATAATCAAAAGGACGGTGGGACATGAGGGAAAGAGAGAAGGGCAGAGGGGGGAGCGGAGGACAGGGGGGAGAAGGGAGGGCAGGGGGGAGAGAGTGGAGGACAGGGGGAAGAGGACAGGGGGAGAGAAGAGGACAGAAGGAGAGAGATGGGAAGACAAGGAGAGGCAAGGGAGAGATTTTGGGAGGCAGGGGGGAGAGATGGAGACAGTGGGAGGAAGATGGGGAGGTAGGGGGAGAGATGGGGGAAAAGGGAGATGCAGCTTGGGGTTAAGGGGAGATGTGACCTCGGGGGAAGGGGAGGTGCGACCTGGGGGAAAGGGGAGACGCAACCTTGGACGAAGGGGAGATACCAAAAAGTGCAACAATCAATATACATGTAAACCCAACTGACTTCCAGCGTAAAGAACAAAGCTTGGGGGTGTGATGTTTCTTTGCACTCTTGTTTGCTTCAGTGCATGCAATAAACCAGGGCTGTGGTAAAGCCGCAACATCTGCCGCTGGACATCTGTACCCTGCACTGGGGGATACAGGGACTAGTGAGGGGGAAACGACAGTACGCAGGGGGTAAATATGTGTTTGGACAGCGGGAAACAGCGTGAGCAGGGGGAAAGAGTGAAAGCAGGGGGGAAAAGACTCAGCAAAGGGAAACATAGTGAGGAGAGGGGAAGGGAGAAAGCAGGGGGAAAAAATCTGAGCAAGGGGAAACAGAGTGAGCAGGGGGGAAGGGAGAAAGCAGGGGGGAAGGGACTGAGCAAGGGGAAACGGACTGAGCAGGGGGGGACGGAGAAAGCAGGGGGAAACAAACTGAGCAAGGGGAAACAGAGTGAGCAGGGGGGAAGGGAGAAAGCAGGGGGGAAGGGAGAAAGCATGGGGGAAGGGAGAAAGCAGGGGGAAACAAACTGAGTCAGGGGAAACAGAGTGAGCAGGGGGGAAGGGAGAAAGCAGGGGGAAGCAAACTGAGCAAGGGGAAACGGAGTGAGCAGGGGGGGACGGAGAAAGCAGGGGGGGACGGAGAAAGCAGGGGGAAACAAACTGAGCAAGGGGAAACAGAGTGAGCAGGGGGGGGACGGAGAAAGCAGGGGGAAACAAACTGAGCAAGGAGAAACACACTGAGCAAGGGGAAACAGTGTGAACAGGGAGGTTGAGTGAGGAGGAAAAGAGGGGTCTGCAAAAAGGAAGGCAGATGGAGGAAGAAGTTTTGCTCATTTGGGAGGATGTGGATAACCATAGGGTGAAGGATCGGAGGAGGTGGAAAAAACGTGCACTGTGAGGGGTAGAGAAGGGTGGGGGGGGGGGGGGGGGGGGGGACGGGAGACGAAGGCGACGGCCCCAGGGAGGGGAGGGGAATGCGCGTGGGCGACGGGGGAAGGAATCGAGAGCGAAGACGAGGAGAAGCAGGGGGAGGCAGCGGCGGGAATGGGAGCGTGGACAGGTCGACGGGGCGAGCGATGGGAATGGGAAGCGATGGCTGCGGACTGGAATCCAAGATGGCGACGAGCGGGGGAACGAGGGCGACGGGCGGGGGAACGAGGGCGACGGGCGGGGGAAGCGAGGGCGACGGGCAGGGGAAGCGAGGGCGGTGAGCAGGGTTAAACGCGGGTGACGGGCGAGGTAAGCGCGGGCGACGGGCGGGGAAAGCGAGGGCGACAGGGGAGGGGAAAGTAAGTGCGGGCGACGTGCGGGGGAAGCGAGGGCGATGGGCGGGGGAAGCGAGAACGACGGGCGTGGGAAACGAGGGCGGCGGACGGGGGAAAAGAGGTCGACAGCGTACTACTTGTTGACGCGTTGAGCAGAAGCCTAGTGGAGGAAAAATGGGAAGACGGAAGGGAAGGCGCGCTGTGACCACAGACTGTTCCGAGGACGCAAACGTGGCAGGAAGAGGAGGATTCGCGAAAGCTCATAAGGTGACTCGCGCGACGAATGATGGTTTGTCTCCGACCAGGGCGTGGGGCAGCGGGGAGGCGATTTTGGCGGGGAGGACGGGTTCTGGTGAGTTGTGGAGGCAAACACCAGGTGGCGACACGGCGAGGAGGCAGAGACGACGGCAAAGCGACGCGCCACGCAGGCGTTGACGTCGCGAGCTAACCGCGCCATTAGCGCGCGATGAAGCTTGCGTGTACGCGTGGGGGGAGGAGACTCGAAACTCCGGCCTCTGTCGTAGTGGCGCTAGGGAATGGACGCTTTAGTTCACACGTAATAATGGTGGCGCCTGCGCTTTCTAGATGGACTTATGCTTTGCAAGATTGATTGTCTCACGGTGTTGGTTATCACTTGGTTGCGCCATATGAATGGTTTCCGCCCTTGCGCGGTGTGTTCCTCAAGCCAATCTCCGTACGAAACTGGTTTGCGTCGCCAGCCAAGCCTGAATTCCTCGCACCAGCTTACCGTACCCTCAACACTTCGCTCTCAAATCGGAAAGCGTCAAAGGGTGTGCACTAACAATGCCCCCAAAAACCACCCCTAGGAATGTGCACCCTTGTTTTAATCGGACGGCGCCTATATCCGGGGCAGGCCCTCAGATTCGTTTTTGGGCTGTCTGATTCGTCAGACTTAGTACACATTTTTAGTCTGATCGATCAGACTTGGTACAAAAAAAAAAATCGGAAATTTCAGAATTCAATCGTATAGAATTCTGATAAACCAAAAGTTCACATCAGTAGTGAAGCTGATTGATCAGCCTAAAACAGGGTGATAACCTCGCCGCAGCGCTGTTGTCACTGTTTCAGTGTGACTGACACGAAAAAATTGTACTTCCAGCGCTAATCGCGGCTGTCAGGTCAGTAGGTACCCGCTAAAACGCTCTTGGGATCAGAGTACACTCTGAGAAAAAGTCTGAAATATCAGACAAGGCATATTTTTTTTTCTGAATATTGAGAGTTCACAGCAAAAAAAAAACGCTGAACTTTCAAAGTTCATTAAAAAAAGAAAGGGCTGAATATCAGAGTTTTTTAGGCAAATCAGAGAAAAAATTTTCTGACTTCTGGGGGCCTGATCCGGGGCCATACGGTAATAGAATCGGTATCAGGGTAAAACAATGCGTTTTGTTCTAGGGTAAGAAAAATATTACACTGATTTTGCAAGGGTAACTAGGAAAAGCGGCCCTCATAAGGGCAAAAAGGGTATTTTACCATGATATTTTGGGCCCTGGTAGGAACGCGATTGACGAGAGAGAAAGGGGTAGAGAAGGTAGATATAGGTGGCAAAGAGGGAGAGGGGGGGGGGGGGGAGGGGGGGAGGAGGTACACCACCAAGGGACAAAATATGATTGTGATACTACACTAACTAGCATGTATGCAGTTTTATGAGAATTTTAAATTCTAACATCAGGGTATCGTAATCAGGGCACTCGTTAGCAGACTAATTTAGTTTGTTGGTCTAGGTTTCAGGCGCGAAATGTATAGTTCATATGCTGTGGCCGACTTTAGCTTATAGGCCATATGAGAGCCAAGCCAAATGTTATATCGTCGTATGTTTTTTCAGGACACTTATAGCAATTCATATGATCCAGCAAAAATCGCGTATTGTTTCGACTGAATGAGACAATGGCCCAGTTGGCCAGAGGAGCAGCGATGTGTTGCATGTGAAGGCACGCGTAATGATTTCTGCGTGAGGGCACGGGGGTGAATTTCGGATTCTTCCTGCCAGCGCATTCTGCATCTGACTCAGTTGCTGCCACGCATCTGTCGGGTAGCTGTTGTCGGCGCCGCTGCCAGGCTGTTGCCCCCCACCTCGCTGGCAGAGTGCAAGGACAGTCGGTGCACAACAAAACAAAGCATGCACCCACCTTCATGAAACCCTCGTGAGAGACGCGCGGCGCGGTTCGTGAGGTGATGGTCCCTTCCCTTCCTTTCTTCTCCAAGCCTTTCTTTGACAACCTGCCTTCTGCCTTTCAATCTTTGACGCCTAGTCCGAAGCATACCTATCGTCCCGTAGCTTGTTCCCGCGTACCGTCTAGAATTACTTTGTTGCTACTGCCTCATGTGATGTGATACACCACCTCATACCATGCTATCTGGCGCCCTCGAGTCAACCGACAGCGCTAGGCGTGATCCACCCGGGGTACCTGACGAGCCACGGATTTCTGCGCTAGATTTCCGAACCCGTAAATCTCCGGCAGCAATTCCTGTGACCACCACTGCCGCAGTCGAGACGCCTCCGCATGTAATTCCTTTCCCCAACGTCATCACATCATGCAACGACGAGCCGCTTATCCCCTCGCAATCTACGCCGTACGCTACTAAGACAACGACCCAGCCTAACCCGGCTGAAGCTGAGTCTTCGCCGCCGCCCGTTTCGACATCTGTGGCCTAAACTGTACCGGCGATTTCTGTTTCTCGCATTAGAGCAGGGAACGGCAAATACAAACAGCGAATTCTGAGCTTTGCCCGTCCCTCTGCAGGTGTCCCGCCAGCAACCGTCCCCCACTTTAGCACACCTCGCCCGGGCCCGTCACAACCCGTCGCCGCCAACGACGACGACAAGTATCCGCGCGTCTTGACCGTCGAGCAGTGGCAGCAAAAGGCTAACGAGAAATGGCTCAAGCACTTCCCGTGGCTCATCATCTCAGAGACTTCATGGGGTCAACCCTGCATGAGGTGTTCAATCTGCATGGTGCACGGAGACCCCAGCTACCAGTACGGCCGCGATGGAGAGGGTGGGCTCGACATTCAACGACAGACAATGCGGAAACATCAGCATTCCATCAAGCATGAGGCGTCAGTGGACCGCTAACAACTACGTGACGGTAAGAATGCTGCTCAGAAGTCGATTGTCGACTTCGAGAACGGTGACGGGGAAGCCAAGCGTTTGACAAAACTCCTGGCAACTGTTATTTTTATTTGCAGAAGCGACTCACCCATTGTGCTGTTTGTGACCCTGGTCCAGTTTGTGAGGATCTAGGATCGAGTTCAGAAAAGAGAATGAGAATTGAGTCGAATTGAATTGAATGTCCACCTGGGTACAACACGAGGCTATATATAGGCTCGACACAAGGCCCCGTAACCAGGTGTTACGCGAAGGTTCCGCGGGTCGCGAAGCGTCCCGAACAGATCCTTACCGAATTCGGTAGAAGGCAATTCGGTGGCAACCGAAACGGCCAGAATTCGGTGCACGCAACCTAGCTCGGTGCTATAACTATAATAAAATATAGGAAAGCACCTAGCCTAGGAAATCAAGCAATTCATGCATGCATATGATTATCCTATGCTAGAAATAGCATAATAAAGTAAAGGCAAGCAAGCATAGCTGGCATAAGCCGTCGTACTCTCACACGTCCCCCCCTCAAAGCTGGGTGGCGTGAGATACACCCTGCTTGACAAGATAGTCCTTGAGAGCACGGCGTGCGTTGCCCATATCAGCTTCTGCAACCCAACTGTCCTCAGTGGGGTCGTATCCCTTCCAGCGTATCAGGAACTCGAGAGTCTTGCCACCGCGGCGCCGATGAGAGAGAACGCGCTCGATCTCGTACTCGGGTTCATCCTGTATGAGAACAGGTGGTGGTGGCGGTATTTGCCGTCCCTGGAACTGTTGGTTGGGGTCCTTGTAGGGCTTCAGTAGCTGGACATGGAAAGCGTTGTGAAGCTTCCATGTATCTGGTAAGCGCAAGCGGAATGTAACTGGTGTCACCTGTGCCTCAATGAGAAAAGGACCACAGAAGCGAGGCCGGAGTTTGGATGGGAGGTGAGACAGGTTCAAGTTGCGCGTGTCAAGAAGCACCTGATCTCCGACTGCTACTAAGTGATCACGTCGCTGACGATCGGCATACTGCTTCTGGGAGTTCTGCATCGTGGTGAGTCGTCGCTGAGTCTTCTCCCATAGCTGCTGCATGGCGGTGACGAAGTCATGTGCGGCTTGGACGTGTGCCGGTGTAGTTGGCTGCTGTGGTGTGAGTGGTTCCCGTCCGTAACACAGGAAGAAAGGAGTTTTCCCTGTGGCCGCATGTGATGCGTTGTTGTAAGCGAACTCTAGGGTTGGAAACTGTGTGTCCCAGTGGCTGACGTCGTCCTTGCAAGCTGTGCGCAGTAACTGTTCAACCACTTGATTGAGTCGCTCTGTCTGTCCGTCAGTCTGGGGGTGGTATGCTGAAGACATTGCAAGCTTTGTCCCCAACAGTCCCATGAGCTCCTTCCAGAACTTACTCGTGAATTTGGGGTCTCTGTCTGAGATGAGTGTAGCGGGGATGCCGTGGATGGTGATGATGCGGTCGAAGAAGAGTCGAGCAGTTGCTTCAGCTGTAGCTGTGGCGTTGGTCGGTATGAAGTGACCCATTTTGGAGAACTTATCGATCACCACGAGGATGGAATCATGTCCCCGTGAGGTCGAAGGAAGCCCTGTGATGAAGTCGAGGCTAACGACCTGCCATGGCTGCTCCGGTACGGGTAGAGGCTGAAGTAACCCTACTTTTTTCTGCTTGCTGCTCTTCATCCGCTGGCACGTGTCGCAAGAGGTGACGAACTGCTGCACGTCTGCTGCCATCCCGGGCCAGTAGTAATACTTCGCTATCCCTGCTAACGTCTTGTTGCTCCCGAAATGTCCCGCGTAAGGTACGTCGTGAAACTCCTCCAATAGGATCTGCCGTAGCGGGGCGTAATTCAGTACCCAAATCTTTCCTGAACCCTTCCTTACAGCTAAGTCTTTCTCCCACTGTAATAGCTTCTTGGTCTGTGCTGTAGCTGTCAAACATTATATATGTTGTTGTAGTTGTTTAGGCTACAGTGGGTTAGCCTATAGGGGGTACACATTCCTAGTTTTTCATACTTGTACTCATTTTCACTCTTAGTTCATGCATTCTTGTTCAACATGGTATAGAGCAGGTCCTTCCTAGGACCGATTTTTTAGGGCCCACCACTACCTACCTACCTACCTGCGCCCTAGGGCGCCTCGGCTTTCACGCCCCTAGAGGCCCCGTCGGCCCCGCGCTCTCGCACCTAGAGGCCTCGGTCGGCCCCGCGCTCGCTTTTAGAGGCCCCGAATCAGCCCCGCGCTTACCCCTAGAGGCCCGCGTCGGCCCCGCGCTCGTCCTTACCGGCCCCGATCGGCCCCGCGCTCGTCCCTCACGGCCCCGATAGGCCCCGCGCTCGCCCTTAGAGGCCCAC